CATTTTGTGTCCTTAATGTTATTTAATGTTATTATATTATATACACTAATGGTAAAAAATTAAATAGGTTCGCCAAGGCTGCATTTATTTAATACAGTAAAGAGTAATATTGTCAAATATTATTGTAATTTAAAATAACTGGTTTCTATTTTAATATATTGTGAGATCTAATTTAGTCGTGTGATGGCAAAGCTGAATTTTCAGCAGGCATTACTCCAGTCTTCAGTGTCACATGAAACATTTGTGCTGCTTAATATTTTTGTGGGAACCGTGATGCATTTTCTAATGATTCTTTGATGAATAGAAAGTTAGAAAAAAAAACTGAAATGTTTTGTAACATTAAATATCTTAACTTGGTTGTTTCTTTCATTTTTGTAGCATGTTAAAAAATAGCACCACAGCATGCTGTTTCTAGCTAGTAGTTAACCGCTAAGAGTCAGTTTAGTTAGTTTTTACATGTCTAACTTTTGACTGTTTACTCAGTTCCATTACACAAAATATTTGAGTAGAGTTTGCAGATTTTAAGCCTTCTTAATAACTGATGCTTAATCTATTCCTGCAATGTTTCAAATTACTTAAATTGCATGATGATTTATACCGTATATACCTGTTTCGCTTCATTTATGAGTCTCATCTGATCCGTTTCCTGTCTAGATTTTGACAGAGCAGGTTTGCACGCAGGTCGTCCACAAGCCACATGCTGAGCCCGACTCTACTGTGAAGATCCAGAACCCAAGTAATTCTTTCTGTCAGCTCATTTATTCTTTTTGTGGCCTGGTGCTAATACACTTACTGTCATCTGTGGAAGTTAAAAGTTTAGTAGCGAATGATTAAACATTTTCTTCTGCACATAGACTTCAGCCAGGGATGCCCGTTTCATTTGTGTCAGTTAGTGAGACCGCATGCTCATTGGTCCGCATCTGTGCCAATCAGACAGAACTCTGAGTGATTAATGCTTGTTCTTCCATTCGTTGTTCTCAGTGATTCTTAAGGTGGTGGCCACACTGTTGAAGACCTCCACACCCAGTGCAGACCTGATGGAGGTGCGGCGTCTCTTCCTGTCTGACATGATCAAACTCTTCAGTAACAGCCGTGAGAACAGACGGTGAGGGTCTCTTCCTTTCTCACCCTTTCCCCCATGACAGCAATTAACCGCCTTGTGAACGGACCCGAAAAGAGAGTGGAAAAAAGAGTGACGTTCTCCCTTGTTGTTGTGTTTAATGGGCACCCCCGTGACGTTTAATAATCCAGTGTTTCTCTCACAGCAGATGTTTCACATGTGACACATTCGAGTCCACACCAATTTCGCTGCTGCCCTATGGCTGTTGGTTTTCCTTTTCTTCTCTCCAAAGCCGTATGCAACGTGCTCCTCTGTGCCGTCACAAGTCTGGCAGTCAATCAGCCACCCAGTGTGTGCTGAAATCTCAATTGGCTGTTATTATTACGTTTCATCATCTCCATCATTGAGTTCTACAGTGAGCCACTCAGAACTGAAAGGAAGAAGCTTTTTAGACTAGATGAAGTCATTATGTTTCCAAAGTGCTTTTCTGAAACATCTGTAAACAGTAGATGGTAACTAGAGCAGACATTTATCTTCTCTATTAATGGAATAGTTCATCTGAAATAAAAATTGTCATTATTTACTCATCCTTGTGTCGTTCCGAGCGGCTTTTTTCTTCTGTGAAATGCTAAAGAAATTATTATAAAGACTGCGCTGCACACTGTTCTCCATGCAATTACAGTGAATAAGGAACAAGGTTTTCAAGCTTCAAAAAGGATGCAGAAGCACCATAAAAGTGTTTCACACAACTCTTCTGAAGCCATACAATAGATTTGTGTGAGGAAATTCTCCACGTTGTTTTCCATTCTTCCAATCTTCCCTTTCATTTAGTTAATTCTGTGAAAGATCATTGAGTCAAGAATCAGAATTAGTCCAATTCTTGAACAAATCTAAAGCATTTTAAACCTAAATAGACTGTTGAAACCACTGGTGCCAACAGTTACTATGATCTGCTTATGATGCTTTTAGGAAGTGCAGCTCAGATCAGTTTTGTGAACTAGTTCAGTCATATTTGATTTAAGAAGAGTTGGTACTTTGCTCATGAACTGATCAAGGAGAACTAGTGCAGATGTCAAGCTTTACTGTAGATAACAAATTCAGTTTTGGTTTATTCCTCACACAGATTGATTGTGTGACTTTGAAAGACTTTGAATATAATGCAGAATTAGTTTGGACCACTTTTATTGGAGTCCTTTTTGTAAAGTCCCTTGGAAGCCTTGAAGTCCCCATTAATTTTCGTTGTAAAGCGACCAATTCAATTCTTCAAAAATGTTCCTTTGGTGTTCCACTGAATAAGGAAAGTTGGGTTAGTAAAATATGACGTTTTTTCATTTCAGGGTGAACTAATCCTGTAACGATGGTTTACACTGTAGCTTTACCGCTTGCTAGCCGGTAGGGATGCGTTCGAAATTAAATCATCCTTACTCCAATCTTACAACCTGGAGTGTTTCAGCTAAAGGAACAAGTTTAATTCATTCTGCCTCAGTCAAAGGTCCATTTATTATGCCACAATGCACTGAGAAAAAAATGACAGTGAATAACACAAAGTGCTTCAGGTGTTATTCAAATAGCTGCCAGTCATTCTTAGCGTTACCTCGCAGATCTGAAGTTTAATGGAGGTTGGGGCTGAAATTGCTTTGTGTTACTTGTCGGTTTGTGAATTAGGTTCCAACTTTGAGTGTCGTTTGAGGGTGTTAAAAAAGATGTGTGTGGAGGAGAGGGAGGATTTAACACGAGTGACTGCCGCAAGCTTAATCCATCTCATTTTCTGTGTGACAGGTGTCTGCTGCAGTGTTCCGTTTGGCAGGATTGGATGTTCTCTCTCGGCTACATTAACCCTAAGAACTCAGAGGAGCAGAAGATCACTGAGATGGTTTACAACATCTTCCGGATTCTTCTCTACCACGCCATCAAGCACGAGTGGGGCGGCTGGCGTGTGTGGGTGGACACACTGTCCATAGCCCACTCCAAAGTAAATAAACAGTTTTCATCAGCTGAACAACAGTATAGTGGTAGAACTTGTGAGCTTTTCCATTGGCCAGTACTGATGTGGATATCTAGAAAGCAGGGATGGGTGATATAATCCAGATGAACAATACAGTGGGCTCCAAATGTGTGAGAATTTCATTTGGAATACAATTCAAATGTTAATGTAAGGAAGCAGAAATTAAATGAATGGAAAATTATATTTAAATTCATATATCTTTACATTTAAAAAAGCAACATTAGTCAAGGCAGATTTATAGATGGATTGATTGGATAGATAGATAGATAGACAGACAGACAGTTAGACAGACAGACGGACGGACGGATAGATAGATAGATAGATAGATAGATAGATAGATAGATAGATAGATAGATAGATAGATAGATAGACTCAAATGGATGGATTTTTCAAATAAATATGTATTTTTTTAGTATCTCATTTGTTTTGTGTCATCATAACCAGACCTGTGTAACTTTTTAAAAAAAAATTTCACTTTAAACTTTTCAGGAAGTTTGCATTTAAGAAGTCTAAACTTGTCACAACTCTTTGTTTGGCAGGTGACATATGAAGCTCACAAGGAATATTTAGCTAAAATGTATGAGGAATACCAGCGACAGGAAGAGGAGAACATTAAGAAAGGGAAGAAGGGGCTTGTCAGCACCATTTCAGGGCTTTCTGCCCAGGCTTCGGCCATTAAAGGCACTCTGGAGCTGGACCCGGATTCCCAAACTCAGACTCCTGAGAGTGAAGCGGATGAACCAGAAACGACTGAATCGGGACGGAACCTCTTGTCTGAAACTAAATGTTTGGATGAGGAGAACCCAGCATCAGGTGTCCATGTGGAAGTTCATGACCTGCTTGTAGATATCAAAGCTGAGAAGGTTGAGGCCACAGAGGTCAAGATGGACGACATGGACCTCCTGCCTGTCACTGAAAATGGAGGCTTGGTGGAAGTGGACTCTCTTCTGGATAACGTCTACTCAGCTGCAGTGGAGAAGCTAAACAGCAGTGTAAACAGTGTTCTGGTACCCAAAGCCACCATAGAAGACAAAAGCTCAGGTCCTCTCATCACACTGGCTGACGAAAAAGATGCCATTCCCAGCAGCAACACCTTCCTCTTTGGCACGATGGCGACCAGCTCGGGAGAAAACCTCCTTCCTGAAATGGGACCATCTGAACCTCTTCCGCTCTCAGGAGTGGAACCTCAGGTCCATACCAGCTCTAGTGCAGACCTTGGGCTTTTGGCTCTCATGGCGAAGAGCTCGAAAGAGTTGGACACTAACCCAACAGCTTTGGAGGATGACAGCTTTAAGATGAGTGGTTTTAGCGTCTCTGAAGGGGAAAGCCTGTCTAAATGCCCAGGGCAGATAGAGACGTTGGCAGTAGATCTGGAGCCAGGGGTTTCTGGGGTAAAGAGCACTGCAGATGTTACCAGCACCACATCAGACACAGAGAAATCAGATGATGGCAAAGATAAAGAGGTGAAGAAGATTCTGACTACTGCTACAACACAGGTAACTATGTTGGCAATCTGTACTAGTCTGGGGTCAGTACATTAAAATTAACAAGTTAACTCTTGCAATTAATTTTTCCAGTTTAATGGTGTTAAAAATATGTAACGCAGTTAACGAAGGGGCGGAGATAGGGTTGGCCACCCTACTAACAACAGCTGCTTCTTGACAAGAATTGCGTTTATTTAGAAGTGGAACGTCTTTACGACCACATCAAACAGGACACTTTTCAGATGCACTCTCAGATGCACATACGTTGTGCTCGTAGTGCCTGCTCTTCATTTACATGGAAAAATACGCCGGCGTGCACTGTGGCCTGTATCATTTCATATTAAAATTCAAATGAAACTACGAGCATGTGTGTCAGAGTTGCGTCACGTTCAGCAGAGGCAGCTCTTAAAGTAATAGCAGCCAAATAACCTAATAATCCTGCTGTGATGTCTGTTAATAAAATAAAAAATAAAAAAAAAATAGAAAATCAGTAACTTTTGTAGCTTTAAGGATTCATCTATATTTCATTTAAAATTTAGTGCTTAATAACTTTATTCAATTTCTGTATATTTCCTACTTGCTGAAGGGCACAGGTAAATATGACATTTATTATAATGGGTTTATGTGAAGATTGTTTTAAGTTCACTTAAATTGGAAGTTATTTTATATAACAAGTCTTAATAAATGTTAAAATTGATAGCTCTCAATTATACTGTACTGTTGAATGGCTATATCCAATGGTTAAATATTTGTTTAAATTTCCTAGAGACATCAGTAGTATTGGTATCACACCTTCAGTCATTAAAAAAAGATGCCACTAAACAATATTAATAATATACTGTCTTCATGTTGTTTCTACATTCATTTGAAGATTAAATGTGAAATTATTGCGATATAAAAATACTATATTTAAAAACTTTAATGTTAGGCGGGATTAATCATGATTAATCTCGATTAATTTAAGAAAAAATGTGATTGATTAAATGATTAATTAGTTAATTTTTTTTATAGATTGACAGCACTATTATTTATCTATCCTGTAAAAATAAATGCTGTTCTTTTAAACTTTCTATTTATCAAAGCATCCTGAAAATATGTATCAGTTTTCCACAATATTGTTAAACCGCACAATTGTTTTCAACATTGATAATAATAAGAATGTTTCTTGAGCAACAAATCAGCACCTTAGAATGATTTTTGAAGGATCATGTGACACTGAAGACTGGAGTAATGGCTGCTGAAAATTCAGCTTTTCTTCATAGGAATAAATTACATTTTAAAATATATTAAAATGGAAAACAGTTATTTTAAATTGTTATAATATTTTACG